TCCCTATTAAATCTGGAGATTCTAAAGTTTGGAAATGATTGTGTAAGCTTAAATGGGGAATGGAATCCAATATTTTATGGGGGCTTGGCTATGGGAACTTATTTTTTTTGCAGGATCATTAGATTGGTAAGGACTCTATTGATTCGCTGTTGCATACGTCCTCGTTGGAGTCTGTTAAAGTTAATTTCTTCTTTAAAGATAATGGTTGGGATGTGGACAAGCTTTCTAACTTTGTTCTTCACTGTGTTATTAATAGAATTCTTAATATTTCCTTTAATTCTCAGTCTAATGATATTATTTTGTGTGATGGTTCTAAGGATGGGGCTTTCCATATCAAGCATGTGTGGCTGTCTTTTAGAAATAAAAGGCCTTTTGATAAGTCCTTTGCCATTATTTGGCACAAAAGCATCCCTAAAACTATTTCTGTTTTTATGTGGCGCCTGCTTCATAACTTGCTCCCTACTGATGATAATCTTATAAAAAAAGGTTTCTCTTTTGCCTCTAAATGCCATTGTTGTTTTCATTCTGAAACTATGCATCATATCTTTATTTCTGGTCCTGTGGCTATTAAGACGTGGGTTTTCTTTGATGATTTGTTCCAATTAAATATTTTTAATGTGCATTTGTCTCTTAAGGCTTTTCTGATGAATGGGATGGTTGAGTGCAAAGGTAACATCCGTAATTCTATCCCTATGTTTATTTTGTGGTTCATCTGGCTGGAGAGAAACAATTCTGTTTTTAATGGTTGCAAGATGGATCATATTAATATTATTCGTAGAGTTAAAGACAAAGTGATTGCTCTTGTGGCTGTTAACTTAATTTCGATGAAAAACTTTTCTAATTACTCTCATCTTGCTCCTTTTTTTGGTATGGTTCCGTCGGGGAATTATGTGGGTTCTTATGCTATTTCTTGGATTAAACCTATGAACAGTTACTTCAAGTTGAATATCCATGGGTGTAAGGTTGCGGATGCTATTGGTTGTGGTGGCTTAATTAGAGACTCGAATGGTTCTTTAGTGCTGGCCTTTGCCGGCCCTAACTTTAATTGTTTTTTGGAGTATGCTTGGTGTATGACTATTCTTTTTGGTCTTCAGTTACGCATTCCTCTTAATATTATTAACTTAGTTATTGAGGTCAACTCTGGTATTAACATTTCGTATTTATATTCCTTGGAGGAGATGTGTTGTAACCCGAGCATCTTCTATATTGTTAGAGATATTAGGAAACTGCTTTATTTCATGAAACCTGTTTTTTCTGTGTCTGCCAAGGCTACGAATGCTGCAGATATTTGGCTATCTAAGTTTGGTTGTACCTTGGAGGAGTTTACTGATTTTGGTAGTTCTTCTTTGCCTGGTCATCTTTCGGGCTTACTTCATCTTGATCAGCTGGGTACCCCGTATGTTTCCAGATAGTTTGGTGTTGATGTCTTGTCTTTTGCTATTTTTTTTCCTTTGTTTTGGTTATTTCTGTTGTTGTTTTTCTGCTGGTGCTCCTTGGGGGGTGTCAGGTGATCATTTGCTGGGGGTTTTTTCTCTGTGATTCGGCGTGGTATCTTTGGTTATCTCAGGCTATTGGGTTTGGGTACCTGGAGGGTGTGCCTCTATTTTTTCTGTTATACCTTACTATGGCTGGTGTTGTTGGTTTGAATCTCTTAGGGATTCTGCCAGTTGGGTGGTGGCTTGGTTGCTTTGCTCCTTCTGGGTGGTTTTTGACAACCTGGGTTCATTTTGTTTTTCCTTTGTGCCTTGTTGCTAATTGGTCTGCTTTTCAGGTTTTGCTTAACAGTGATGATTCTCATGGTTTCCATGGTGATCATTGGTTCTGTCCCCAGTGCTTTTTGTTATTTTTCCTACCTTCCGGTGCAAGGTTTTCAACTACACTAAGTATCTGTATCCTATCTCTTTACCTGCTTTAATTTTGTTTCTTTACTCTCTTGATGTTCTTAATTATTTCTTATAGAATTATCTCTTTATTAATACTTGTGATACTAACTATATTTCTTCTTGTAGCTTCTTCCTTTTTTGTTTTCCTTTTTTGCAGAGGATTCTGGTCCTCAACAATTTTGTTAGAAAGACTGCGCTTATTGACTATTTTTTAGTCATTCTTTTTTGGATGATAGTCTTGAGCATCTTTAGCATGTTATTTATTGTATAATTTTTTTGAAAGTGGAAACTATTGGCTCGTAGGTTGTCTTTTCCTTTGTTTTGTAGCTCGTATGAGCATTAGTGAGCTAACGGTTTCCCTAAGGACTCTGTAACCCGGTTTTTTAATTAACGCGTAGGCCCCGACGTGAGTTTCCTATATATATATATATATATTAAATAATGAAGATATTATTTATTATAAAAATATTGCAAAAATAATGAGAAATAATAGAATATTAAAAAAGTTTTATTTAAATGTAACATAATATCATAAAAATTGATTTATGTCAAAATGTTTAAGATCATTTTAATTAAAATTGAATCGAATATTTTTTCCTAATTTTTCCCACAGATAAAATGAAATAAGTTATGTCCATTTTCTAAATTCATTATCTTAAATTTATTTTTCAAGTTCCATCTCAGCAATCCCTTTCTCTCACTCTCAGGAAATTTTGTATATTAATAAAAAATTGGACTTTATGTCTACTAACACTCAATTGCTAAGAAAAGAAAAAAAAAGAAAAGAAAAATGTCTTTTGTTAATAATGTCTAATAATTTTTAATAAATTCTGCATAAATGTTATTTAGAATTAATTTGTCATTTGTCAGTAATGTTAACAACAATTATAATTAATATGCCATTGTCAATAACGTTATTATCATTAAAATTTCATATGAGACAGCTTTCTTACTACTTTCAAAAGCAGTTTTTAATATATATAAAACTAAGGTTTTGTTTGGGACGGCTTCTTTGTTGCTTCTTACAGTAACTTTTTAGTACAAAAATTAAAATTTTTATACTAGAAAGCTGCTTTAAGAAGCAACAAAAAAGTTGTCCCTATGGCTTTGTTTGAAACGGCTTTTTAATTGCTTCTTACAACAAAATTTTAGTATAAAAATTAAATTTTTTGTACTATAATTTTATTTTAAGAAGCAATAAAAAACTGTCCCAAACGAAACCTACAAGACCCGGTACTAGAAAACTACCAAAATTCATATTTATAGGATGCATTAAGGGGTCCATTGAGAACAACTTATCTTTTTATAAAAATAGTCGTAAAGCTGCTATGAAAAATAGCTTTTTTAAAAGCTAATATAGAAAGCAGCTTCATGACATAAAAATTTATTAAAAACAATAAAAATATAATTGCAAAACAAAATTATAATTACAATCTGAAAAGCTAAACAGCAAGAAAGTGGCCTCAAACAAAATCTAAAATCCTATTTGCATCCAAACCGGCTCCACAAATTTTTTATTTTTTATTTATTATTATTATTATTTTTAGCTTATTGTTTTGTCCCCAATCAATGAAGACAATAGCCCGCATAGAAAATTCAATTTAACGTCCACTCATAGATAGATATGAATAAGTATTCATTTGGGCTTATTTTGGGAATTAACCTATGGGGATTATTATAATATTAATTAGCAATCATACAAAGAAATAAATAATAAAAATTTCAACCGTACAAATCCTTTGGACGGAGAATTTCTTTTTTAATTATTTGCTGCTCAAGCGAGTTGCACGCATCTTTTCCAGTTGGGCTGTTGGGGTTTAGTTTATTGAAATAAGAATCGTGGATTTATTAGAAAATTAGATTCACATGATACGCAAAATGCTGATTAAATTGTGATAAAAGATTTTAATTAATTAAATTAGTTGGCTAAGCATACTTATAAAAGATATTAATTATAGAGGAATTTTGTTATTCTGACTAATAAAGAACATTTGATTGTTGTAACGTTGTAGAACAAAAAAAAGAATAGTAAGAGCTAGAAAGAGATAAGAAGAGAAGAGGTTCAGTATGCTCGAAAGCCATATTTGAAATACATTTATGATACTCACAGTGGAGCCAAAGGATTCATGTCATTATTGTTTGACAAGTTTTACGCTAGCTGTCGACTACCTAATGCAACCCTCAACTTTTCTCATCCAGGACTTGGGACCCGGCAACGGCATAATGGAGAAAAAGGATTCATGTAGCCGACCCCCCGTAGTGGGATAAAAGCTTGATGTTGTTGTTGTTGTACAATGGAGCCAATTAAGTCAAACTCATAAGCACATCACATGCGCAAATTTCAAATCCAATATCTATTGGTTGGTAGTCAAAACTCTCCCAACAAATAAATCGCGGTAAACTATGTGGATAGATAAACTTGTATATTTGTGTAATTTGTTAAGGAGCATTAATAGGAGATAGACTTCAACAATGCGGTTGGTGATCCACTATATAAACTGATTAGAAAATATGTTATTATCTTTAATTAAAGAAGAATTGATTGTAAAATATGTAGTATCATACAAGAAAAGTTGATTTTTTTTAAATAATTGATTAAACAATTGTCATTGTTATTCAAATATCATTCGCTGGTATATTGAGGCTTCATTTGATAAGACTTTTTAATTGCTTCTTAAAACAGAATTTTAGTAAAAAAATTAATTATTTTACTAAACATGTTTTAATAATTTATTTGTATGTAATCTTTTTATGAGTATGATCTTAATATTTTGTTAATGTAAAATTATTTGCATGGTTAAAATAATTGTGCTTAACATAAGCGCGCTTCTTTTAGTATTAAAGTTCAAAATTAGCTAAAAATTAATGCTTAATTGCATGCTTAAATTATAAGAATTTTACTATAACAATAATAACAAATTTAAAAAACACAACGAGCACAATTCCATATATACCCCTACGCTATAATTCGTCGATGAGCTATGATACTTCGGTCCCCATTTATGACCTCGTGGGGAGTGGAAAAGCCGGATTGTGATCACTTGACTCTTTTGGCCCTATGGGATCTCCGTAATTTTCGTCGCCGGCGAGGGCGTAATTCGAGTAATTAATTGCTCATAAACAAAATTTCAAACCCTGATTAATTTCCATTTAACGAAATTCCATTATAAACACATTACCCATTTTCTCGAGCTGAAAAAAAAGTGAGAAAAGCAAATACCCATTCTACCCATAAACAATTTCCACTGTTAAGCCCTTAGACCACAGCAAAGGAGGGCAAAACGGGAAACACGAATTATCGGAAAAAAAACGGAAAAAGTTCTTGGCAGGACTGAGAGAACAGGAGGAAGGAGAGAAGCATGGGAGAATCTCTGGCATCCAACCCTAGCAAGCAGAGTGATCGGAGTACTGAAGGGGCCGGGCGAGCTCCTCGGCGACGAAATCGTCGCCGGCATCGGTTTCAGCGGTAAGTAGAAGGCGACGGAAGAGGTGAACTGAGCAAGAGATCCGGAGAACGCCGACTTGATCGTATCCGAACTCCATCGCCGTTCGCCGGAGAAGCTCGACGAACGGCGGTCGGCCGAGGAATTCCGCTGGAACCGCAAAACGCTCCATCTCTTCGCCGACGAAAACTGGAATATGACCCGCCGGTACTCGCGCTCGCCTTGCATCCCTTTTTCCCGCCGCTTCAAGCGGCTCGTACTGCGAGGAGTCCGCCACCTTCGCCAGCCGTCTGATCAATTTTTTCATCCTCTCACAGCCGTTGGATCCGCCTAATTTTTCTTCAGCCACACTACGAGAAAGAGAGAGAGAGAGAGAGAAGGTTGAGGCCTTGAGGGATCGGAATAGACGGGTCATTGGGGATGCGGGCGTTATATAGAGAGGAAAAATAAGTAATTTTTATTTAATAAAATTTTTTATTGGTTTAATTAATTTTTGGGTATATTAAATTAATTGATAAGTTGAAGGTACAGAAGGTGGTACTGGCAGGTACAGGAGAGGTATATATACCTTCTTAATGATCAGCTGTAAATTATTAAACAGGGAACTCTGTTATTGTCCAATAAATATGCTTTCATGACTAACCATTAGAATGCATCAATGTTGATAAAAAGGTAAGTCCAATAAGTTACGGACATAAAATTTATTTATTATTAAACATATAGGACCTAAGTTGTTTTTTAAATATTATATTTAAAAAAAGTATACAATAGTCATATAAATTAGTAAATATTAAATAAATTTATTAAATATTTTTAAGTCAATAAAGAAATAAGCAAAAGGAATAATAATTTGTAATTTGAAATCGAAAAAATTAAATGTTTAATAAAAATCAGATAAATAATATAACAAACTTTTATAGAAATAAAGAAGAGTTTTAAAGAAAATAAAATAGTATTTGTTGCGTCTTGAAGTATTCGCGACGGTAGAAAATTATAAATTTTAATGTCTAATTAGTTTTGTACGAAGATCCAATAAGCATGCAAATAAAAAGAGAGGGTGCAACATTTATAAGAGACACCAAATTTTTTACGTAGAAAATTCCTGAAAAGGGAACAAATCATGGGCCTAGCCCAGATTGAATGAATCTACTAGTATTTGCAGTTGATAACAAAAGATGCCCTTCATTGGGAGGAATGCATTGGCTTGATGTCAAATATACATCATATAGAGTGTGTTACATGGTGGAAACAAGGAGAATCAATATTGATGTGTTCGTTTGGTCGGCAGGACCATAGTAGGTTGGCGACGAAGGTCAAAAAGACCGTTGTCTGGCGACGGAGTCAGAATGACCTTTGATAGGTGTTAATCCGGCGTTGGGTAGAAATCTGGCGATTGGCGGAAATTCGGCATCGGGTAGAAGTCCGATGAAAGACCGATGATGGGTAGATGTCTAGCGACGAGCGGAAGTCTGACGTTGGGTAGAAATCCGGTGACGAACAGAAGTCTGGCGTTGGGTAGAAATTAGACGATAGATCAAAGTTTGGCGTCAGTTGGTGGTCAGACAGATATTCGACATCCGACGGAAGCCGTGAGAAAGTTCGGTGACAGTCAGTGACCGGCTGAAGTCTGATGATGGTCGATGAGGAGTCTGGTGGCAAGAGAATCCTTCCTTCTCTTCTTGCTTGGGTCCGTTCTTCCTCCCCCTCAATGAAGTATTTGAAAGTCTTAATGATATCAGAATTTGACAATCTTAGGCTCATTGGATTTTTCTCATCGAGCCACTCGATTCGATTATAAGCATATCACGTTTGGAAACCATTTGGTAATCCAAATTATGGTTTTTCCCTTCAAAATATGCTTTGAGTCTTCAATTTGGACCCATTTGAGCTCGAATTGAGTCGAATTTGGTGTCGTTGGGTTCATATTTTTGAGACGTTCAATTCGACTGTAAGATTGTTGAAATCAGAGTTCAGATAATCTCCAATTTAATTTCTGAAGGTTCTAACTTGAATTTTGCCTTGAGATTCGTGTCCGATCAAGATAATTTTTTGGCGATATATCAATATTATTCGGTTATTGAAATTTTAAATAATAAACTTTTCAAAAAAGAGAAGGGATGGCTAATTTAAGTTATTTATATAATAAACTCTTAAAGTTAATTTTTTTTTAAGACTCATATGTCAAACATCTATGATGTTTGTTACTTCTTTTCATTTTTCTTAATTGGACAAATAGATAGTGTAAAACATGCTTCGGATAAATGCTTATATCATGTATGTGACTGACACGACATAATTTTTATTAAGAAAATCATTACAGCTGAAAAACTATGAATATATATATATATATATATATATATTCATAGTTTTTCAGCATATGAATAAACAGATTAAATGTTTAAAAGGTTTTGAAAGATTATTAAAATTAACTTAAATTATCTAATTTTTAAAATCTAAATATTAAACTCCAAATATTCTCTTTATAGAATAGATTATGAGGTTGAAAATTTAAATTTTTCCTTAATTTAAATTTAAATAAAAATTTATTCTTAAAATATCAAAATTGTGAATAAATTGTTATTTTCACATACTATTATTTATTGTAGAATATACAAACACTTTTTTTTTAAATATGTTTTTATACATCTTGAGAAATCTATTCCATTAAATATGGCCTTGATGTAAATATGCAAAACATGAACTTTTAAGATATAATTTGGTACAATTTAAACTCCATTATTAGTAAATTTATAATCAAAATGGAGGCTTTCATGAGAATAACCCATAACATCAAAAGTGACTTGTTCCAAATCCATAAAAGTCAAAATTAACCATTCAAAGTATAGTTAAGAACTTTAGGACATTTTTTGATAGACCAAATGATATGTGAATATTGCATACTTAGTCTAATTGTCAAAATCATTCAATTCAATGTCACTATGACACTAAAATCTTTAAAAAAGGTATCAATGATTTAGAAAATTAGCACAAGCAATCTAGTTAGTTGTGTTTGAAAATTTTGGCTAAAATGATGAACCTTTCACTCGAAAAAATTTAAATTATGATCACATTCTTCACATAAAAGATATTTGGATTGTAGAGAGCCTAAAAATCATAGTGCTCTACACCAAATTACTATAGCCCTACTACCTATCGCCATACCATCATCTTCAATATTTTGTCATATGACTGTATATCATCTTAAGATTGTCACCACCTTTTATTAATTGATACTAGCATCTATTGTTGATTGTTGTAATCTAACATTGATGGTCGACATTCCTTAGCTTGACTTTGTTAATGTTCAACTAGTAGTGAAATTTGTCATCCTTCATAGCTTCTCTAGTTTTTTTTACTATATTCATAGGAGTAGGGGCGGAGCCATAACTTTTTATTAGTGAGGGCACAAATTAATAATTTTTAAATTACTATCAATTATTTTATGATGATGTTTTGGTATTTTTATTTAATAGTTCATAGTAAAGTTATATTTAGATCTTTCAAAAATATTAATATTTATTTGTAATAATTTATTAAATTCTATATCTTATTAGTTGTATTAGAAGAACAAAGCTGATTTGAAAGAGGTGGATTATGCAAGAAGCTTCCCAATAATACCTCTTATTTGATGTATTGAGGACAATAATTAGTGGGCCATGATATTAGTTGTTTTCTCCACATATATTCTCTCACAAAATCTATAAATATATTTTGTTGTCCACATAGACATATAATTATGCTTATGCTCAAATTAAATTGGATTGAAATCATTCCAATCATGCTTCAAATCATGCAACAAAGGACATAGGTGGGATAAGTACCTTTGTCTTCTTCAATGAGATGGTTTAGAGAATGTTTTTTAGTAGAATTGTGAGGAAAAAATCTTTTAAGAAGTACATCAATTATAATGATTAGGGTAAATACTATCAATAAAAGATGGAGGAAAGTACTCAAAGGATTCTTGAAAAAATGATGATTATTTGAAAGCCAATGGCTAGTTGTTATGAGTTGAAGAGCTAAATTAACCCATAAATAATTGGATTATAGGGCTTTAATAGATATAATTGAATGTCCGTATTCAAAATTTTGTAATGATTTTGGGCTAGCAGTTTACAAGAATGATATGATTGAGCAAAATAAGCACATTAATTAAAAGAGGAGAGAGCATCTTGGAACATAACACTTAAGATGCATTTCAGCTGACATGATAATGTAAGATAACACTTGGTCTCATCTTATTATGATTGCTATAAGCATATGGTTAGCGCGGATCATATAAATCCTTTATAAAATCTTTTGGTTCTAAGATGAGCATAATATGTCAATAGGTAGACATTGATCATTGGCAAAGGTCAGGTTATGATCAACTTTAAAATTAAAAAAAATGGAGGATTTTAGTCATTTTCCTAATTGGAAGGGAGTCTAGGAGACAAAGAAGTTGAGTTTTTTATGTTAATAGTTGATGGATATTAGATGTCGGTCATTAGCCGAAATAGTTAGGTGCTTTAAAATCTAAAAATTGCATTAAATTTTTTGCATATTGTGATATTATTTCTAGGAATTATATTAATCATTATTCAATATGAAGAATATGGTAAAGTCTTGTTGTTACATGCATCAAATAATAAACTGAAGGCTTTATACTTTTTAAAGTGATTAATAATGATAACTTATTTTATGAACCTAATTTAAATATCATGCTAATACATATGATGTCAATTGTCAAATAAATAAATATTTATTATTTCTTATTATGATGATTTAGAAGTGCATACTTATTACATATGAGAACTAACTTGAGAGAATAAATCTCAGGAATCATAGCCTCTTTCGTTTAACACACAAGCAATTAAATTAACTAGAGATGGATGTCACACCCTAAGATCAAATAATTGTCAATTTTAATTACTTAAATAATCAACCAAAGCTCCGTTGATTTCGTCAATATAAATCAAGCCAATAAAAACAACTAAAATAAAACATAACAAAATATTTCTCTATTTATTCATCAAAATTATATTTACAATAGCCAAGAGATTACTTACAATTCATAATCTATCTCAATCTCTGACTAGAAAAGAATAACACAAAATACAAAACAAAATCAAAAGAAAAGCTTGAGGATCTCTAACAACCTCACTCCACCTGGTCATGATCCCATCCTTGACTTGAAATCATTAAAATCCACATAATCGCCTAAAAAGTTCAACATAAATTCAAATTTACTAAAGCTTCCAATGCAAAGCTTAAATAATCAATGTATGCTCAGTTCAGTTAATATATTCAATATTGTTCACTACAAGAAAATCACGTATTAGTAGAGGAAAATTGTTAATTTTTTGGCGGATTTGAATGTTTTTCGGCCGAAAAAATTTTGCCGTTAAAATGA